GTATTAATTAATTGAAGGTTAAAGATTAAAAAAAAAAAAGTAAAGAAAAAAGTTGGAAATGTAAGTGTAAAATTGAGCAAAATTTTGAGAACTTTAATTACAACTAAGGGTCCGTTTGATTGCAAGAATAAAATTTGAGTGGAAAGAAATCGAATTTCAGAAAATTGAGTTGTTTAGAAATTGTTTTTCTGAGAATTGTCAATTAATGTGTTTGATTTATATAATTTTCACTGGGAAAATGTTGAAATTTTCTAATTTTTGGTTATCGTTTTGTTTTGTTTTTTATGAAAATTATCAATTAAAGAATTTATTACAATTGGGGATAGAATTTGTTCTAATTGCCAAAAAATAAAATAAAAAACCACTGAAATTGCACATGTAGAGGGAAGAAGGAAAACAAATTGCCAAAAAAATTATCACCATCAAACATGCCAAAAGTTGGAAAATGAAAAATGTTTTCCATGAAAAATAGGCCAAATCAAACAAGTCCTAAAATTTGTTTGCAGTTAATAAAAACCGTGGTATGAATATAATTACCCTTAGCACTATTAGACAATTCCGTCCAAAACTTTTGTGGAGGGCATTAAGATGACATAGTTGTCCTCAAATAAACAAAAGAAATAACTTGTAGGGAAGGAAAAAAAGAATGGAGATAACAAACTTACTTCTTCTACACTTCTTATTTCCCGCAATTACCTTTTGGATCAACCACCTCCGATCATCTATAATACTGAGACAAAATGCATCTGAAATATTCTGGCCTATGCCAAAACAACCACCCCTGGGCTTCGTCTCGGGCCTGGACCTCAGGCAAGGCCCAAGAAGCAGGCTGCTTTAGGCCCATAATTTTTAGTGGTCCAAGAAATTTCAAAATTTTCTTTTTTGAGTGCAAAAAAAAAAAAAAAAATGGAAGAAGCAGCTGTGAAACTATGAGATATTGAGGAAATTTCAAAATTTTCTTTTTTGAGTGCAAAAAAAAAAAAAAAATGGAAGAAGCAGCTGTGAAACTATGAGATATTGAGGACTATTTAGTCTCGTCAAACTATTAAGATAAGTCTCATTCATTCTACAAATGTGTATCATAATCAAATTGTAACTCCAAACCGAAGTCCTAAATATACGAGTCATTATTATAACAAAATACATCCTTAAATTTTGACATGGTGGCATGGAGCTTCGATGACAGGCACAGCTTATCCGTTTTAATTTTGTGTTATATGCATTTGGAGAAACTGATGTTGAACTAATTTTCATTTTGCTGGAGAAGAATTTTATGTGGAAGACATTCGCATTTTCAACTCTGATGATGCTTTTTTAGTAATAAAATATGTAATATTTAGAGACAACAGTATTTTTTTATTGGATCAGACTCTTCTTTTGACCGATTCTTGAATACCTGTTATAGTAGAATATTCATGTGGGATGTTCTCAAATTTTATGTGTGTGATACACATTCCTTCTATTATCTATTTAGGGAAATGTTATTTGTGAAAACCTGATGTGAGTGAGGGGGTCGAGCCCCACACATTTATTGGCATGGGCCCTCGACCTCAGGTGAGTCGCAGGTAACCCAGAGTGTCAAACTCCGGGTACCCGTAGCAAAATTCATCTATTTAAAGCTCTCCGCATTTGACACCTCGGGTACCCGTAGCAAAACTTATCTATTTAAAGCTCTCCGCATTGTGTCGGCCTTACCTTTTGTGAGCGGAGACGGAAGAAAGCATCCATAATAGCAGTGATATTTCTTCCAAGAAAAAAATGCCATTTGTTTGATGAGATATAAAATGGGATATTAAAATTTTGAGTGGCTTGCCCAATTCACCATGGCCCGCTACGGCTAATTAAGTGACCAGTCTACTCACTTTTTTCAATTAAACGAGTTTACTATTTCATTTTGCCAAGTTCAATGTTAACCACATTAGTCAACGTTTATATATTTTGAGGCAGCAACTTTTATTTGCTTTATATGATGTTCATACAACAGTATCCACAACTCGGTTAGAGGCTTAGTAGCAAGAAACTATATGTTTAGCCAAAAGAGAGT